GGAACCAACTTCCAAGAGACATGGTGCTGGCTCCTACCCTGGGGGTCTTTAAGAGGAGGCTGGATGAACACCTTGCTGGGGTCATTTGACCCCAGTACTCTTTCCTGCCATGGCAGGGGGTTGGACTTGATGATCTGCTCAGGTCCCTTCCGACCCTAGAAACTATGAAACTATGAATAGAAGCAGTAAATGCTCAGTGCTTCTGGAAAATCAGACCTCTATTATAGGTACCTAAATCTGGCACAGACACTGGAGAAAAACATGCCTAGAAACTTTTTATGCTTTCTCTTGTAACTGAGAGAATGGATTTAAATACATCATCATTATGTTTACAAATAGAAATATTGATAATTGCTGTCAATAAATATCAAATTGCTTATCTAGATATGGGAAATATGCATGGTATAATTATATTATTAATGTAGTTACACTACAGCAAATTTCTGAAAAACCTCAGAAAAACTTTATTGAATTTATTTTGTAGGTTGAGTAATTAATTGCTGAAATTAAAGAGAATTGGAAAATTTTCAGTGTGGTAACACTGTTAATGAAAGTGAAAGCCTAAAAATGTCATTTAGATATAAATCTGAGAATTCTTCTTTATACAGCTTTAAATGAAATGAGTGAAGAGTTTATTTCTGTTCATTTTTACCAGTTTTACTCTCTCTGCTTATCTTTCCAGTTTACTTTCTATGTAGTTAAATATTAAACCACATGCAGACTAATAATGAATAACTAGCGCTGCTTACAGAAATTAGGCCCCTTAAAATGGTGATTAACAATGGAGGAAAAAAGTATATGTTAAAACTCCAGTGCTTGCTGAAAAGCTTGATTACACAGTAGAATACAGAACTCAGCAGAATACCTTATGCAAGTTACAAGCTGTTCCTTTACCTCTACAACCTACACAGCCCTCAGACTTCACGACTCCACCACTCTACAGCATTAACTGTGAAAATTCAATTATACCTAGACTTAAAATTAACTTTAGTAACAATACTGAAAGCACTAAACAAGAGAAACCAGAGTCCCCTTACAAATGGAAGTTCAACAGGTGTGATGTTAGCATCAAAAAACTGTTATCTTCAAGCTTCCATCCCTTTGGACACTGGAAATGAAACAGGCCTCAAAATAAAAATGTTCTTAATTGTTAACTAGATATAAAGTTCTAGTGGTGATAAGACCAAAGCAGTTTTTACCTCTAGCTACTTCCACCATATGCTTATCCATCTGCAATTTATCTCATCGAATTCAAGGAATCTATTCAAATATATAGACAAGGTTGTTTTCCCCATTTAGCATGGGGGCGGGAGGTAGGAACCTTGTCTTAGATTTGAGTAAGGCCAGGCAAGCAACTGCTGCAGCTCCAGACAGGACCAGGATAGGTCATATTGCAGGGTAGGGGCACATGGCATGGGGGAAGCACAGGGGATGAAAGCTCGCAGTACAGGGAAGAGCATGAGGAAAAGGATGCGTGATGCAGGGGTGGAACATGGCAGGGGGACAGGCCTATGGAGGAAGGAAATGCACAGAGCAGAGGAAGCAGGGGGGCAGAAAGAAGTATGGGGAAGGGATGTGAGGGAAGTAAATGCAAAAAAATGGGTGTGCAGTACAAGGGAAGAATGGGGAAATTGAGGCAAAGTTGGGGGGAGCATGGAGCAGGAAAGAGCACAAAGAAGGGGCAGGTGGCATCAGGGAAGAGCAAGGGAGGGGCATGTGGAGTTGGGGGAGCACAGGGGAGAAGCGGGTAGAGTGGCAGGGGAAGCTGCTTCAACTCTGGCTGGATAAAGGCTCGCAAAATGATAAGGTTGAGAAAAAGGCCTTCATAAGAAAATAAAAAGGAAGGAATCAATCTGATCTTACTCCAGCTTGAGATTAACATTTTTTTAAATCCACTTGGTTTTCTAATCATTGTGCCTTTTTGCCCTGTAAAACAGTGTTATAAAATTCCTGAAAATGCCAAAAAGAACAAAATGCTAGCAAAAGATTTATTTTTCAGGACCAAGACAAACAACTGTTGAAGCAAACCACTGCAAGTATAAATTAAGCTAGGTAGGCCTCACTGGAACGTTGATCAATACATATACTACTCTGGCCAATGCTTTGGCAAAGTTTTTGCATTTGCAGTATAGATAGACTGATGGATCAATAGATCGATTGATCAATGTTCCATGAATGTATAAATGGGTATACCAAGGTAACCTCCAAACAGTGTCTAGCGCACTGAGTTATCTCCCGTCTGCATATTATGCTTTTCCAGGATGATGGGGAGACATCCTCCACTACAAGACAACAAAAAAGGAGGGGAATGTAGGCCTCACTGGAACATTGATCAATACAATATACTGCTTGCACCAAGACTTTGCTAAAGCATTGCCCAGAGTAGGCCTGACCAGTAAACTGACCCATGCATGAACCCCTTACACAAGCAAAACTTGGCATGTGGAAAAGATGTGCACTCCTGCCAGAAGATGGGTGGGGGAGGTAGCTGTACAAGGTGTATAGGATAGTGCAGTACCAGAATGAGAAGGTTGGAATGGAAACACCCAAATCAGGATGCAAAACAAGCCCATGGTACAGGACTGTTTAAAATAGTCAGGTGGAATGTAATACATAATTTTTTTGACCATTGTAAAAGGAGAATTGAAAATGATGAGAATTTTGTACTGGCCTAGGAGAGTCTGCATGTTGTGCCAATATCTTGTCATGGGCATACACCGTGCTACCCACTTCCTGCTGCTCCCTACCTCCCCCTCCTCGGTCTGCAGCACTCTGCCACTCACTACCCCCCCCTCCCTGGTCAGCAGCGTTCAGCTGCTTGCCACCTGATT